AGAGGGAGAGAGAGAGAGAGAGAGAGAGCTTGAAATGTCTACTTTAAAGCAAACCTATTTAAATCAAAAACAAAAGCTCTCTGTATTCTATGTAATCTATACGAAAGGTGTATTTCTCTATAAAGGCACATCCGCTGTACTGTAGAGATGGTGAATCAGCATCATCAACTTAATCTTTGCAGCAAATACTAACTCAGAAAACACTATTTTATTAATTAATAATTAAAATATGTTCTTGCTACTTTTTACAACACATTCATAGTCATTACTTTTGCTGGTGCTTAGGGGCAAGCTTTATGCTTGCGCTTGAGCACAGAATAATCTCTATATTAAAGGCTCATTATATATTTTAGTATTTAAATAAATATAAACGTGCAGTTAGTTGACTAATGACTTAAATGAGCGACTGCTAGTCAACTAGAAAAATCTTTAGTCGGGGGCTGACCTAGTGTAGGCAAAAACATTCTGTTTTTGTGTGTCTTTTAAATGCAAATGAGTTGCTGATCCCCGCCCCCTTTCCAGAAGAGGGCTGTGCTTTTACAGCTCATGCCTTGGTTACTCCACCAACAACAAACAAATCATCTGTTTGTTTTTGATTATCATCTCTATCGCGCTCACTCTCGTGAAGTTGCAGATCTTCGTCATCATGATAAGTTTATTCTTATGTTTTTTAAAAGCCTTCTGATATATGGTTTTCTAAGCGCAGACACGCAAAGCTCACATAAACATAGTCGGTTATGTCTGCGAACATAAACGGCTGCGTGTCAGTATATTAGATCTGAGAAACAGCATCTTTTGGACATGGCGACAACACACTATTAACACAACTCAACCAAGCTTTGCCTCCTCTTATTTTTTGCATATGCCTTGGGCGAGAATTATTTAAATGAGGGATATTGTGACATGTGCATTCCCGGAAGAAAACTCAGGACTGCAATTAAGCCGTTTGAAGGAGTTCAGAAACAGTGCTTATTGCTGGGTTAAATGCAACCCATCAATTGGGTTGTTTTGACCCAGCGGTTGGGTTACTGTCCAGAATGTTGGGTTAAACATTTAACCCAACTGTTGGTTGAAAACAACCCAGTCGCTGGGTTTGTCCATATTTTACCCAGCGCTGGGTTGTATTTAACCCAGCATTTTTTAGAGTGTAGTGATATAGAGAATAACTCTATTTGTTATTTATAAATTTGCAGATGTTTTTCATGCGGCATTGAAAAAACAGCAATATTACGAACTAAAGGAAGTTGAAAATGTAAAAAAAGCATAATAGTTAATTAGACGCCTTTAATGGATTTAAATTTAATTTAATTTAATTTATCTGAAATGAGATTGCAGAGCAATATGCAAGGGAAAGTCAATCCTAAAATTATATTGTTTGCTTGGAGAACGATACAGTGAGCAAAAAAATCCATAAACTTCAAGCCATCTCTACATACTAGGGATGCACGATATTGGATTTTTGCCGATATCCGATATGCCGATAATTTTCATCTCATTTTGGCCGATAGCCGATACCGATACGATATATAATAATTTTTCAGTTTGGTTATTTTTTAACAAGAACTTATTTGTTAGAATTAAATAAACAATAATAAAGTCATTTTATAATTACACAGGGTTCGTACGGTCATGAAAAACCTGGAAAAGTCATGGAATTTTAAAACACCAATATCCAGCCCAGGAAAAGTTTTGGAAAAATAAATAAACAAGAGCCGCTGCACGCTGCGATACAAGACTTTCACTCGCATTTCGGGACAGTTGACAGAATTGTCACTTGCCTAATCGGGTCATTGTTGCACCGTCAGAAAATGTTATTATTTATTTGAACGTCTTTTTAAGCCATTCGGTACTCGCGCGCTGCAGAGGCGGTGCGCAGTCACATCCAAAGTGCGCTCGTGCGTATATAAAGCCACCATGCCAGTACCAAATTGAGTTTGCTACCAAATAAGCTTAGCAGAACCCTGCACGGGCCTCAAACATATGCCCTAGTCCGGCCCTTATCCGACAGATTATCAGAATTACTGGCCGAGTCCGACTGGAGCCCGTGTCTTTTTTTCTCTCTCTTTTCCCCATTGCACAGCTGCAGTTGCAGCCATTAAAGGGGTCATATGATGCAATTTCAATTTTTCCTTTCTCTTTGGACTGTTACAAGCTCTTGGTGCACAAAGAAGATCTGTAAAGTTGCAAAGACTAAAGTCTCAAATCCAAAGAGATATTCTTTATAAAAGTCAAGAGTCACTCATTTTAGTCGATATATTTCCTTTTGTCCACCAAATCTCTCCTGTGCAGAAATTATAAACAAATTATTTTTAAATTTTGGTTAGTTTTGAACAAGAACTTATTTGTTAGAATTAAATAAACAATAATTAAGTTATTTTATAATGCCAGTACATTGAAGATTTGAAAATAACTATAAATAAACTATATATTGATCACTGTATTTTTTTTTTCAGAAAGATGCAGTAGTAACCTTAACATTTTATTTTATGATTTAACATTTGTGAATGGTTTAAAACAAAAGAGTTGTAAAAATTCTGAAAATATTTCAGAGCTCATAATTTGTTTAAAAAATATAACATATTACACATTAATGAATAAATCAGTATATATATAA